TTATGGGTTTAATGCAGAAATCACTTGGTGAAGGCTTATGGCCTATGTTACTCAGGGAGCCAGACTAATTGTTTAGAATGGCCTTAAAATCTATGAAAAGTAGGTTTCAGAGAAAGGTATGTGAGAGGGGTCCCAGAACCCTCCCCTGTTCCCAAAGTTGGAAAGAGAGTTGGCTTCTCTCTAGACAGTGAGGCTCAAGCTTTGAGCTTGGAAGGTTTAGACCTCTAGCTATTAGGCCTCAGAAATATCATCAGATGTCTCAGAGCAAGGAGTTTGAGAGGTGGGAGGAAAAAAATACTACATAGAGAATGGAGGAGCAAGAAGGAAAAGCAGAAGCTGACACAGAAAGCAGGAAGAGATGCATTGTGATCTAAGAAAAGAGCTGAGGGAAGTACAGTGAAGCCAAGAAGAGAGCAATAGTGCAGTTAATCCCAGGGAGATGAAGCCAGTTTGCCAAAAGGCTGTTAAATAGAAAGTTTATCAGCAACACCTTGTGGTTCAGGGTAGCCCACAATGAAAAGTGCTCATGGCTTGTTTCCCTGAACAGCAGGTGGTGGGTTTGAAGGAGGGGGATGGCTGAGCAGGTGCTCTCCCCTGTGATTAGTACACTTGGACTCTGCTTTGGGTTGATGTTTTCAGGCCTGTTTATTGTTTTTCTTGCAACAGGGCCTTGGAAGTGCGGAGAGCTCACTGAGAGCCAGGGGTTTGCCAGCCTTGATGTGCATTGCTGTGTGAGGGGCCTGGGGGCACAGTACCCCTAACCAGGTCTCCTGCTGGGACACTCTGGTGGGGTGGCTTTGCTTTGCTCCTAAGCTTGAGGAATTTAACTTTTAAAGAACATAGTGGCTGTTGCTGCTCTACTGACTTCCCTCCACTCTTCTAAAGGCCTGAAATGAAACCAGCCTTACCTCCTGGTCCAGGGCAAGGCAGTTATGCTCACAATTATGCTGTGCCCAAAGCTATACGTTTGGTCTATCAGAGGGAAGGGGCATGGTAAGGGGCATACCTCCATGGTGCCCTGGGCAGACATTTATATGCATTTCTGAATGCTGTGCTGGCCCTTTAAATTTCTTTATGCATGTGAAACAGACAGTTCTCTCACTTGCAAATAAAAGCAGCCGAACATCCCATTCCCACTGGGGAGTTTGGCCTCTGGAAGAGGTTGGTTGGAGCCCTGAGCTGTAACTCACTAGAATGGGCAGGGACATTGCAAGGGCAGAGGAAGGTGGCTCAGCAGAGCCGGTATCATTGGTATGGTAACTTGATTCCCATTTTCCCCAGGCAGCAGGTGATGGGTGAAGCAGGAGCTGCTATTGATTAGGAGCCGGGCTGGCTGGCTGGCTGAGAGAATCCACATCCCAGGCAGAGCGCAGGGCCTGGCACCATCTCAGCTCTAGAGGCTATTTTTTTCCCCAAGACAGCTGATTCCATCTATTTTTAATGAGCTCCCCTAGATTGCGCAGTGGGGAGAGCAGACAGCAGCACAGGCAGCCACAGGCTCTGAGCTGGGGCAGGCTGAGGGGCCACACACATACCCTGCCTGGCTCCTCCTCTCCCTGGGGGGGAACTTCCTTGGACTGTATTGCTGAAGCCCCAAGGAAGGGGTTCCTTCTAAATGCATCTGGCTTTGAAAATGGAGTCAAGCACAGAAGAGGAAAGCTGGCTGGAGGATCAGTGGGAGAAATGGTAGGGACCTGGCTGGGACTGGGGAGTGTGTGTGGGATAGGGTGGGGGGTGTTTCTCTGCAGGTTTATATGGAAAAGGAAGGAGCAGCCCAGCATCTCTGGATTCATCCCTTCCCTCTGCCTGCACAGCAGGAGAACACTTGGCACAGACCAAGGTGCAAAGTTTATCAGCTGCGTATGCACCTGAAGGGTGTTTGGGTACAGAGGAAACCAAAGTAGCCTGGACTGCTGGACCCTCCCCATCGGTGTTAGTTCAGGGTCCATGTACTGGCAGCCCCTCAGTGGCTGAAGCATTGAGGCAGAAGTGCTTGCTGGCAAGGTGTGTTTTTTAACATTTTTAAACAGAAAGGAGGTAGAAGAGTAAAAGCAGGGGCCGGAGGGGAAAGGGGCTAATAGGGAAGCCTCGCTGGGGAAAAGAAGCTTCTTGGGTAGCAGCTTGGAGTTTGCAGCGTCCCCAGGGGTTGACCCAAACCCTGTATGTTCCAGTGCCAGGCACACAGGGTTCACTGCAGCAAGCAGCCTTCTGTATGCAGGCCTGCACTTTGCCTGCAGAGGCGGTCCCTGGGGAGGGGGAGTTGCCCCATGTCTGCTCTTCCACCATCCCACTGGGTAGTGGGGGGGTACAGCTGAGAATCCAGTCCTGCAGTGCTGTGAGACCTTCCCAAGAAGCTGCTGATCTTGTAAGGAGCCCACTTGGTTTAGCTCCAAAGAGGTCTCTCTCTTTCTGTCTCTCTCTCTCTCTCTCAGGCAGGGCCCTGACAGATGGCAGTGTGTGAGATAATGAGCATTAGTGGCATTTCCTGTCTGACCCCACTGACCTGGGTAACCAGAGAAGAAATCGATTTCCACTCTGAAAGACCACTATTAGTGTCTCTTTCCTTCCCCCACTTCCTGACAGAGGGGCCAGCAGTAGGGGAATGCAGGGCCTGATTCACCCTTGTTTGGCACCTAAAGCATTGCCTCCACTCCAGTTCCTGCCTGTTCTGTGCAGACAGGCACAAGACAGGGCAAGGTGGCACCTTAAAGATTAACTCATTCAGGGAGGCATAAGCTTTCATAGGCAGCAGCTTACTTTGTCAGATGCTCATGGCACAGAGACTTTCTCCTTTGCCCTTCACCAAGATGGACCCTACTCCACTGCCCTTCTGGGCACTGATAGGAGGCTGCGGATCAGAGGGGGAGTGGAAGGGGGCTGGATTCTATGAGGACAGACTCCCTGGTAAGCTTATTACCCTGTTCTCCGCACACCTCTGCTTCCCTGTGCCTGGTTCTGCAAGAGTGGACAGAGCACAAGGTGATCTTTCCTTCTCTTCACACCATCCATTCCCTCGCGGTTTTTAGCAGCAGGGGGACAGGTGTTTCTTCCCAGCTACACTGGTGTCTCTGGGGGACTCATCAAGGATGTGATTAGATGGCTTTCTGGCCTTGCAACTCTGGGCATTTCAGGGAACTCACAAGGGGTTAAGAAGTTCTCTTGACCATGGCTGCTGCTGGAGCATCCATGAGCAACGGGGATCTAAAATCTGGATGAAGGGCCTGAATCATGTAAGGCATCCCCTCATCCTTCTCCACTTACATTACCTGGAACTCTGACCAGTCCCTATTCTGCTCTTCAGCATCCATATCCTTTGCTTCTGTTTCTCTCTCTCTCTCTCTCTCTTCTGCTGTCTGAAAACCTTGTGCCAGCTGGATCCAGAGACTGGCTATGAAAATGGTCTGTGCAATGAAAAAGAAAAGATTTCTTCCCTGTCTACCCATGCACGATTTTCACCTGCTTAATTAAACTGTTTTGAAAATGATTTGAAGTTTAAACTGGTGCATACCCTTGTGCAGACATTCTTACACTTTATACTTCTGAAGCATAAGCTGTTTTTTCTACCAGGTCATGCTGAACCACAAGAATCTACTTGTAAACTGCAGTGTGTACACACATAACAGCATCAGTGGTTCCTAAATCAGTGTAAAACCTCACCTGTAGTTATAACTGTGCCAACTGGTATGTAGACAAGGTCTGAGACTGTTTAGTTTTGAGAGTTGATGAATATGGAGGCGTTCTAAATAATGACTGCTTTACAGCAGAGAAACTGGGAGTTGCTTTTCACACTGTCTGAGAATATAATGGGGCAAATTTAGCACTGCTGAAAGGAAATACTTTTTAAACCAGGTAAAATTTGTGTGTGGAACTGACTGCCACAAAATACCCCTGCAGCCGAGAGCATCGAAAGGTTTGACCCTTAAGTGGATAAAGAGAACATCAACAGTCTTATTAGAAGGGAATGGAAAATAAAGGGAAATGCTTAAACACTCTTACTTTTGGACTCCCAGATGTTAGGAGGAAACTTCCTCTGTGGGCAGGTTGCTCCATAAATCTCTGTGTAGATATCTACTACCTTTCTGTAGAAGGATTTAGCATTTGTCACTGACAGAGGCCACTGGTCCATCAGTTCTGGGCTGCCAATGCCTTTGTTCCTGATATAAGGTCTTGTCCCTAGAAGGTTAATTCTCGGCTCCTGCCCAGCTGTGCATTGGTGGGGACAGGGCCAGGTGAAAGTATGTTCTTCCTGTCCCACCTCTGCCCTACTTTCACTCCAGTGACCTCTTGTCTTGTTTTTTATAGTGGATGGTTACTACTTGTTCCTAGCAGAATTGTGTATGGTAGCTTTCATTCTCCCTGGAGACCACAAGGCCCTGCCAGGAGAGTGTGGCAACCCAAAGTCACCATTGTCCCAGGTGCCTGGCTGTGTCTCTAAGCTGCTGATCAGACCCCAATACAGTGTACCCCACACCAGAGTGTATGGAAGGGGTACACTGGTACGGTTCCCCACCAATATGCTTTCAGAGATGGCTTCCTGGGCCCTGCTGATGAAGAGTGTTTGGGCATTAAAGTGCAACAAACTCCAGGAAAGCAGGGATCCCCCAGGCTTGCCATGCTTTGACTGGATCAGAACCTGGCACTGAAGGAGGGGCAGAGCTACCAGGGAGGGGCCTTTATCCCTCTCTCCTACCCCAGTTACACTGCTGCCTGCTGGCATGTACCCAGTTGCACCACCTGCAGTTAGCCCAGGGCCAGGGAATGCGGTACTGCCCAGCAGAGCCCGTTTGTGGGTGCCTTGCAAACAGGTTAAAGTAATGACCCCTTCTTTCTCTTAGCTACACATTGGATAAAACTGGTTAACTTAGCCTACTAGGATTCCCATGGCCTGAGGCCCTGACAGTTCACCCCCAAATTGTATCCACTGCCCAGACAGCACTGAGGGCATTTCCCAGCAGATCAGGCCGGTTTGGCAGTGACTGCATGATCTTTGTCTCCGCCAGGCTCACCCACGATATCAGCCTTGAGGAGTTTGAGGATGAAGATCTCTCTGAAATCACCGATGAGTGTGGAATCAGTCTGCATTGTAAGGACAGCCTGGCTTCCCGGGTAAGCACGCTGACTTCCCCTGCAGATGATGGAGGTGGGAGAAGGGCAGAGAATATCCCACAAGGAGCTAGATTCTCGGGAGGAACCACGTCATCCACTCTCATTCTGAATGTACTAGCCTGACCATTGGAAACTGCAGGTCCCTGCTTCCATCACGCTTACTTGGACCAAGATGGAGCTTAGCAACTAGGATGTGAAGCATCTGTAGGCTGCATCTGTGTGAGGAATAAGGCTGCAGCAGGCTATGCTGTGGAATATTGTGGACCCAGTGGTGGCCAGTGCAGACCCTTTACCCTCCTGGCCGTCCCTCCTGCTGTCATTTGTGCTGATGCCATTTCTTCCCTACATGATGACCCTTCCTTCTCCGTCATCACCAACACAAAACTCCATTTTCTCCATGCTCAGTCAGAGGGAGCTCACACTCTGTCTGACTCTTCCACACTTCCTTTTACTCCCCAAGCCTCCTCCTACTACAAACACCTTAAAAAATACTGCATGTAGAGCCACTGCAGAAAAACTGTACACTTCTGGCTGATATCCTTGTGATTCTAAGCTCTAGCATTCTCTATCTGCAGTACCATGCTGGGGACTCCTATTACTGTGCTTTCTTGTCACCACAGGCGATGGACTGTGAAGCAGAAGGCCAAAGGCCATTAAGCTGTTGGGAACAGGCACGGGGACTCTATTCATGGAATAAGGCATTATTTAGCTACCCCCCTTCCCCAAGAGCTTGCCAAAGACAGGAGCCTGATCCCATGCAATCTCCATACCAGAACTGTTCAAAAGTTGGGGGGCAGGATTTCAGTAAGTGGGATTTGAAGGGAGAGAGAATATGACGGACAGTGGAATAAGGACACAGGGCTTGTCACCCTGACTAAAATCAGCCCTCCTAGTGTGGTATCCTGTCTCTGAAATAGTTCATACTGGCTTCTGAGGAAGGTTTGAGAAACCCAGAAAAGGACAATTATGGAATCCCCTGTTCAGAGCAGAAGTCCCCCAATACCTCATTGGATAGTACTTATCTTGTGTCTCCCAATGCAGGGGCATTTGTGTGCCTTATATGTTCCTAAACCCTGGGTAATGTAGCTTTGGATGTTCCCATTATCCCTTTACATATTAATTCTTCAAAAGTTCCTGGTATATGGGCAGAATACCAGAGTTACAAGCAAATGAAGGGACCAGGGGCAGAAATGGAGGTTGGGAAGAGTAATCTTCTGTGGGGTATAGAATAGGGAGCTGAGGTGATGGAGAGTACGGAGCCAGTAGGAATACTTATGTTCTCATTCGTAGTGGGCAGCAACAGGACAGACTTCATAGAGAAGGCCTGGACTGCACTGATGCTTGACTCTGGATTTCCATTTTTCTGCTGACAAAGCAACTTGACCAGAGTCTGGTAGACAGCAAAGCTGCCTGAGATTCAGTCGATACTGGAGTGATGGGGGATGGGAGAGGACAAACAACATCAGACGATGTATCAGCCTCCTTCCTGACTACCACAGCAGCAGTAGCCAAGAGCAGTCTGTATTGCCTGCACCCTTTATATACAGAGCACAGTGTTCCCTTCATCTGGGCCTAGGACCATGTCCTGCTGTGATGGTACTGTCCCAGTGCATTCTGCATGGGCATCTCCTCTGGAGCACATGGGTCCTGAAGCTGGTGCAGAAGGCAGTTGTTGTCTGCTTATGCACCAGGTCTTTGCTGGGAGTGTGCATAGACTGCTGCTGGAGGATCTCCACTGGGTGGAAATTAGTTTCCAACTAGTGTATGAGGTGTTGGTCTGGACCCTTCAGGCCCTAAAGGCCAGATTTCCAGTGGCATTTAGTGCTGAAGACAGAGGGATTTTCAAAAGTGCCTTGGAGCTTCCCCTGCCTATGCACATTTGTGAACCTCCCTAGGTGGCTCCTGGCAGCTTTAATCAATTAAATGCCTACATATACATAGCCCCAAAGGGTTGTGGGCCTGATTACCTGAGCCACACCACTCTTCGTGGTGTCCTGTGGCAGCTGAAATCTGCTGACGTGTCTGAGCTGTGAACTCCTGTCAGGGGATTAGCACCCCTCAGCTGTGAAGCTGATACCTTCCCTTCCCTCTGGGCCTGAGACAGCCCTTGCCATCTGACCATCAAGCTGTGTTGAAAGGCTCAGGTGCAGGTCTCGGGGAAGAAGGTCCGATAGCATTGCTGGTGGTGTGTCCAATGGATGAGGCAAGGGGATTTCCCTGTTCATCAGGGATTAGACCTGAACATTGTGTCAGCCCCTAGGTACAGCAAAACAGGTGCGATATGAAAGGTCCAATAACCCACTTCCTGAAGCAGGAATGTGTGTCAGGTGGAACAGAGATGTGCTGGCCATGATTTAATGTGTTAAACCTCAGCAGAGAGTTCAGAACGGGAATACACAACACTGCCTGCCTATCCCATTGACTCACACATATTCTCACACACAGGAGCAGGTTACAAAGGCTGAGCTAGACAATATATCAGGGCTAAATCACAGCAGCATCACTTCTGTGTTCACTTGAGGCCTTATTTTTTTGTCCATTAAATAGATGGTGCCTTAAATCTTCCTTGGTCAATACCAAAGGATAACAGGTGGAAAACGCAGGCTGCTGGCGAGCCCAGGGAATCAGCAAGCAGATTGCCAGTTTTGGATAAAAGTGAAACTGGCTGCTATGAGGAATTAGATGAAATAAAAATGGCTCCTCTGACTCCAAGGCATCTCCAACATGTAAATCCCCCATCAACCTTAAACATGCTGCTGAATGCCAATGAGTCCTGGAAAGGGTTCAAACTGCAGTTTAAACGGTCTGTTAAAACCATGGGGTTTACTAACATGGAGAATGAATGCAAAATTGCACTGGTTTTAATAGCAGCAACAGTAGATGTTTGCAGTATATTCTATGCTATGGAGAAGAATGCTTTGAAGAAATTGGAAAGATGTAATGATTGTTGTGTCCATGGAAAGAAAGAGAGAGATGGGCTATGAAAGAGAGAGAGTTTGGAGGAGGACCCAGAGAGAAAGAGGAATGATGGAGGAGTTGGTCAAAGCCTACAAAATAAAAAGCTGGCCTTGTGGACTGAAATATCAGGATTCCCTCAGTAAGAGACTAAATACTTTTATGGTACAGCAGTAACAAAGTATGTGAAGAAGGCCAAATACCTAGTATTTAGAAAGACTAATACTGAGTATATATAGTATTTAGTATATCATATTTAATATTTAGAAAATCAAGGTTTTCTAAAATGCCCAATGACTTGGGGTGCCTCAATTTTGAGGGCTGAAGCTGAAACACTTTAATTCAGTGGTGCCTAACCTTTTTTCTCCCTTGGGCTGGATGGACAATGCTCAGTCCATTCATGGGGTGGATCCACCCAGAGGGCCCAATCCAGTGCTCAAGGCAGTAAGGCAGGGCGCAATCTGGCTATGTGAGGGAGTTGGAGACTGGTTTGGCCCCACAGGGGAAGGGGGCATGGCCCAGCCTCAGTCTGCACACAGGGGGCAAGGGAGCATGTCTGGCTCTGATCCAGCTGCATGGAGAATAGAAGAGGGTGTGGCCCGGCCCCCATCCAGTCCCTCAGGGCTTGGGAATTTGGCATCAGGGAGATGTGGCAGTATGACTTGCTACTGCTCCCCCATCACCAAATGTCCCAACCCATTGGGAACCCTGTGGGCCAGGTGCCATGGCTCTACAGGCTGCATTTGGCCTGTGAGCCAGAGATTGAGCACCCCTACTTTGCTTTTCAGAGGTCAGATAGTTTTAAGGTATCTCAGTCTTACTAAAAATTAAAGGCTAAGGGAAGGGACTGCCATGCCAAACCTGGATGGCTGTCAGAAATGAATATAGCGAATACCAGAAAATGTCCAGAATATTAAAGGCAAGGCAGGTAGTGACTCCTATACGAACAGTTGCATAGCATCTGATGAAATAGGCTGTAGCCTATGAAAACTACTCTTTTCTGAATGAGTTAGCCTTTAAGGTGCCATCCTGCCATGACTTCTGCTTGACATGTTAAGCTAATATTTTCAGTTGCTTACAGCTTTGCTAAACTAATTATTTGATCTGGTTTTTTTTTTCATTCTAAGTATCTGCCTCCTGGTGAAATTTTTGGGAAAGGTTTCAGCCAAAATAGATCCTCAGTTTCTGGGAGTGAGGTTAAGGGAAAATACATTGTTTTACCCGTTTAGAGAAAATTCCTACACCTTTTCATTGATAAACTTCAGGTCATCCATGGTTGAAGAGACTTGAAAACTTGGAAGAAGCTGCTTTGGTATCAGAGAGATCCCTTTAATTAGCCCTCTAAAATCTTTCCAAATTTGGCTAGATTTTGTGAGCTCCTGAAAACTTAGTTCACAGATGTTCAGTAAAAACCCGTTAAGAGTTGTGCAGCTAAATTCTCTGAAGATCCAATGCTCTAATCTAGCCCCTATGTCAAATGATTGATGAGCAGACTAAGGTCACGGACAGACATTACATTTATAATGTTACAAGGCTGAATTTAAAGTGCATATAGGACTACAAAAAGTGGGTGTACATATGTGCACCCTGCCTATCACACTACAAAATGGTGGAAGCACTACAGGAATGGTCCTGTCTGAAATGGGAATTTCTCACTAGTGCTGTGTTTTGTAGGGTTGTATGTAATGTCTGTACAGTATGTGTCGCCTCAAGGGTCTCTTCCTTAGAAAACAGAAAGAGAGCAGCAGGCTGCAGAACACACCAATGGGAAGCAGAAATGCAGCGCAACAGGACCAGGAGTGGCTGCTCTGTTTGCTGTGGCAGTATCCTACAGTGGCAACTGGGACCACTGCTGGCCCCAGGGTGGCAGGTACGGTGCTGCCTGACCTTTCACTATCAGTGATCAGCTTGCTATCCATTACTGGCAGATTTCCTAATTCCCCTATACTGGCAGGAGAGAGCAGACTGCCAGTGACCTGGCTCCCCTGAGTGGGAGCAAAGGAGCAACCTCCTATCACTCCCTGGCTGTAGAGCATGCCTTTGTG